GACGTCCTATGAAGGCAAAGGGTGGCAAGGGACGTAAGGCAAAGTAGTCTTGACAACTCTTGCCCAATTTTAGGCCCTATTTTTTTTGTTTTGTTTTTGTTGAAAAGAACAAAGTTAAAGTTTGATTAATATGATGCTACTTGGTGATATGCTCTTTGCTGCTGTTTGAAGACTTGTGTAGAGCTTATCCTACAAAAGTTTCCATTAGACATTTATCACTCATTCAGTCTGAAAATTTTCTTCAATTTCATTTTTCTTGTTAAAATTTGTAAACTTTAACCCTAATATACAAAAAATTATGTAAATTGAATACGGATGATCAATAGTTTCGTTTTTATGAAATATCATATGGTTAAAAGTTTTATCCATGTACACAACATAGATATCTGTTGAAGAATGAGGAGTTGTTTGTTGGAAGTTCTTCAGCGATGAATTGAATTGGAGCAGTTAGAGAATGGCGTGAGGCATCTGAGTAAGTTTTTGAATTCTATAACTATTTGTCTCCACACGGGTAGGCAGAGGCCTTAAGGAGGTAGGTTGGAAGTTTCTTGGTTTTAGTTGAACTTTGTGCATTGCACATTATTTGGTTCTTTCTATCAAACAAACAAGATTTTATAAAAAAAAAAAGAAGAGATTTTATCGATAAATTTTATAGTAGATATTAATGGTTAAAGTCATGAAAAATGAAAAGAAATTTTAACGACGAGGGAGTGTTTTATAGGAATAATAATGCTACATCACCATCGATTGAAAATAATAGTAGTGACAATGTTTGGATGACAGCGACTCATGTTAGAAACTCACTAGAGTTGACAGCGCAGATGATAACTGTTTGTGAATTTTTAATATACTAAAGGCAATAATTCCCTATGGAGTCTCAAATGATTATCATCTCTATGTGTACAAATTTATAGACAATTATCATTCGTGGTGTCAACTGAGGTGTGTTTCTAACATTTTCAGATGATAATACCCTCTAATTTGTTGTTGAAGCGTAGGCAAAGTGAAACTCAAGATGATATTTACCAAGGAGCTTACATTCAACGATGTATTGTACATGCGGGCAATTCACAAGAACTTGTTGGAAAGCACTCTCAACAAATACAAATTTCTGTATCAAGGTTATTTAGAGCAAAAATGGTGTCTTCATAGGAGTAGAATAAGAGTCTAATGGGCTCTTTAAGCTTAATATAATGACTCTTGTTAAACATAATAACATATCAATAAAAGTATTGTTGTTTATTTGTGTGCGTCTTTTAGTTTCTGCCATGGTAAGCTAGCTAGGACATTATAACAACAATTCTTTGTAGAAATTTATAAACAAGGAATACATACTTAAATCTAAAATCGACTAAAACGAGTGTCAAAACAAAGCCAACCAGAAGATTGTTTAAAATGATATAACGAACCACACGACCACTAAATCTTATTCACACTGATTTATGTGGTTTTAAGACAACACACTTGAGAGGTGTTAATAAAATTGTTATCACATCCATTTACGATAGCACGTAATATTAATGTTCTAGTTTATGTAAAGGTAAAATCAAATGAATTTGTGTGATTTTAGAACAATACCCTTCAGAGGTACAGTGGTAATAAATATGTTATCGCATTCATTGACGATAACACAATATTACTATATCTTTTTAATGGCATGTAAAGATAAAACCTTAAAAAGACTCATTCCCTACAACAATGAAGTTATGAATAATCTTAACTATAAAATAAGAGCGATTACAAGCCATCGGGGTAGGGAGTATGGGATTTCGTTCGGTGAATTTTGTGTATAACATGGTATTGTGGATTAAGTGACGCCCCCATGCACACCATAGTCGCTGGAGTGACCCAACTCAAAATTCACATTCTCAAGGATTTGAAGAATGGATTGTTGTGTATTTCAGGGTTACTCCAAAGTTGGTGGGGGTGAAAACTATAGTATATATCCAGAAATTATCTTTTAAATAAGACACCGAGGGACACTCGATAAGATGTCTTATGAAATGTGATATGGTAGTAAAACTTCCTATAAATACTTGAAAGTTTGGGGGTGTTTTGAGAAAATGATGGTCCCACTCCCACCACAAAATAGATTGAAGATACGTTTGAAAATCATTGATAGAATCTTTAATTTATTGGCAGCAATAGTAGCTCATATCAATTTCTTGTGACTAAGTCTGATAATATAGAAATTCACCGAAAAATGATAATAGAGTCGAGAAATACAACATAGACAATATTGTCTTGAAGAGTAAAGCAAGCCTCTTCACAGAACAACTTGAAGGGAGTCTTTTTATTCATGAAAAAATACAACCTCAAACTAGCTCAATCAAAGAAATGCACCTTTAGCATGAAAGTATATCATAAAATTTTTATTTCAATGATGAGTAAATGTTAAGTCATTGTTCATGTGTCGATTTTTAAAATGTATGGTTTGATATGGATTGGTATAAATTAAAATATTGTTTGTGTTGAAGAATGGATTTTCAATATTTGGGACCAATTTCGAGATCGAGACGTACTAGTTCTATGACCTAGTGAGCATAAGGGTAAGGGGGTATGGTAAGATAGATGCAATGTTTGTAGATGAACCATTACAGTGTGTTAATTGTTTTTAGGAGCTTACACAAACGTCACAAAGTGTTGTCTATGGACCGCCACCCTTGAGTTGAATAAAGATTATGAGTACAAGTTTAACATGATTGAGAGGGATACTACTTTAGTTGAGAGCTAGAAACCCAAGGCTTAGGCCTTCCACCTTCCATTCGAAGATGTTGGCATTATGTTACAGGACGTTGGAGTCTTTCTTCGGCAACCACGGGATGGGACTCCTAAGTTGGTGTGACCAGTAGGTCACAACCGTAATGAGCTGAGCAATGATGTGCGACTGTGCGAGGACGTGGTGGGTTTTACACTAGCTTTGACGGAGTTGACCACAACGACACAACGTATATGAATGCCCGCAATTACGCTAAAAGAGTTGAATATATAAAGTGACGAGGTGAATGCGAGTCAAAGGTAATACCTCGTCATGTAGATAGGCGTTGAGGTGCCTCAGTGTGTGGGAAGTGTCCTCGGTGCCAATGCAAAAGCACTCATTGGGACGATTTCGTAGATGAGTACATTCCCCAACCTAATTTACATTTCCAGCAATCTACTCCATCCCGACATTCTTAAATGTACTCTGCTGTTCTACGTACACCTCGTCTTCCTCGCAAGCCCCCATCGGAGATGATACATCCTCACATGCACCACCTCCTAGTCCTTGCTGGAGAGAGTTCACTCATGTAGTGTATCCAAACACCCCGATTACATATAGAGATTGAGTGTACAAATACACTGGGACGGAGGTAGTAACAAATTTAGTGAATGAATTGGCTTAGAATTAAAAAAATTGTACTCCCTCCGTTCCTTTAAACCCTTCCACTTTTGACTTTTGGCAAAAATAAGGAAAGTGTAATTTTGGTTGACTTTCCAATTTTACCCCTGATGTGATGGGTAAAAGTAAGATGTGATAGTTTGGTTATTAGTGAAAAAGTATGATGTGATAGGTAGGGTATGAAAAAATAAGGGTAAAAATGGTTTTTTTAATAGAAAGTGGAAGTGTTTTAGAAAATTCAAAAAAAATGAAAGGGGAAGGGTTTTGTGGAACGGAGGGAGTATAAATTAATAAATAAAATTTACACGGAGCATTTTTAAAAATATTCACTACGTTACAAGAAGAAGTACACTATTCACTATTCAAAAATCATAAAAGAAATTATTTATTTGTGCGTTTGGGTTAAATATGTAATTTTTTTTACTTCTACACCAAAATTTAAGTAAAATGAATTTTAAAAAAACTTGAAATTTAGTTTCATTTTGCATAAAGTGTAAAATATTTTGAGACAGAGGTGTACATCAAAAGTTCTACAAAACTAAATGTGACATGATTATATAATTTTAACAAATGATTATTGAAAATGTGTAAAAAATAGTAAAAGATTAACTATGTGAATAAACATACATTTACATTAAGTAGTATGGTGTATAATTTTAACAATCCAGCGGCTGAATTGGTAGAACAGTGGACCCTAAAAACCAGACCGGCGTGAGACGATCCATATTGATTTGGACTCGTTTGGTTTTGACTTGATTTTAGATCGATTCGGTTCAGAACTAGACCTGACAAAACAGACCTGAACCCGATAACCGAACCGAATAACCCGAAATCAAACCTGAAATAACTCAAAAAGCGAAAAATCAAATTAAACCCGAACACCAAAATGATCTGATCCGAACTAAACTCGAATCGAATGCATTCAGACCTGATTCAGATCCGAATCTGATTGAACTCGAACCGATTACACCTGAATTGATTAAACCCGAAATCGATTAGACTCGAAACCGGTTAGATCCGAGACTGATTAAATCTAAACCCAATTAGACCTAAAATTAATCTAATTCAAAACAAATTAAACTCAGATCATGTCAAACCTAATAGCTCAATGGTTGATGTATTTTTTAGAAAACATATTTAAATTATAGATACAACTAATTTCATGTACAAAATTTTTATTCCGTACTTTATGACTTTAACTAAGATCATTGTCTATTTTTATACGAAATATGTACTCCGTATAATTAATAGTGACTTCGTAACATAAATAGATGGATATAGTGACTCATTATTGTTGCACGTGTATATATACTCCCTTATACAAAGAGGGAGAGAGACTACACACAAAGCTAACATTAAAAACTCTAAGACTAAATGATTTCAAACCAAATTAAGCCATGAACCAAAATCGAACCAAAAGTGGGGGTGGGGGGGGGGAATAAACCCAATTGAACCGAATTGAACTGAGCCGATCATAACACATATTTGGAAGAGATTCGAATCGAAAAGATGCAAACTGGAATCCAACTGATTGATCCGCCAACTCTTAACCCAAAATGCACGCTCTCACTAAAAACGGCTATATTTTGTAACGACATTCTTCCAATTTGAATTTTGAAAGATAACTCTCATAGAAGCAGGAGCATTCCCCACCGCCATTAAAATCCTTCACTGCACTCTTTTCCATCTCTCTCTCCCAGACTTCATATCCGATCCCGCTTCATCAGATCTTTCAAGAAATTCACTTCCTTCCAGGTTACCTTTCTCTCCTCTCTAAATTCTTCGTCAAAATAGTGAAATCACCAACGATTTTGAAGAGTATTGATTTGTTGTTGTTGTTGTTGTTGTTGGTGTTTTTGCAGAATCGGAGCGAAGATGAACGATCTGATGACGAAGTCGTTCATGAGTTACGTCGATTTGAAGAAGCAGGCGATGAAGGATCTCGAATCCGGGCCGAATCCGAATGTGGAGATGGGTCAACTCGACCCGGCCGACGAAACGAAGCTATCCCTGTTCTTCGAAGAGGTGGGGTCCATCAAGTCCGCCATGGATGAGATCTCCAATCTCCTCCTCGATCTTCAAGATCTCCACGAGCAGAGCAAGTCCTCGCAGAGCGCCAAGATTCTGCACGGACTCAGAGACCGGATTAACTCCGACATGGTCGCCGTCCTCAGGAAGGCGAAGATCATCAAGACGAAGCTCGAAACCCTAGACAGATCCAACCCCTCCAGATCCGATCAAACCCCAATCGCACGGACGAGAATCTCCGTCACCAACGGCCTGAGGCAGAAACTGCGGGATCTGATGAACGATTTCCAGTCCCTGAGAGGGAAGATCGTGACGGAGCACAAAGAATGCCTGAAGAGGAGTTACTGCGCCGCTACAGGGCGGGAGCCGAGCGAGGAGACGGTGGAGAAGCTGATGGCCGGCGGAGTGACGGTTGCCGCCGCGTCGGAAATTGCGAAGGAGAACCAAGAGCGGAACGAGGCGGTGAAGGAGATTCAGAAAAGCCTGGCGGAGCTCCACCAGGTGTTCCTGGACATGGCGGTGATGGTGGAGACTCAAGGGGAGCAGATGAACAACATAGAGCAGAATGTGGTGAATGCCGGGTCGTATGTGAAAGACGGGTCGAAGGAATTGGATCGGGCGAAGAAGATGAAGAAGAAGAAGACTCTGCTCTGCTGGATTGGGTTTATTCTTCTCACTATCCTCTTGATCTTCGTTCTCGCCATTCTCTTCTGAAGATCATTAAGATGAATGAATGTATCTATCCTTGATTCTCATTTCATTTTCTTGTTTGCAAATATTCATACTATGGCTTCTTCCCCTGGATTCTTTTGGTTGATTGGGCTTTTCATTGAATCCCAGTACAAAAGTTTTGGGGGGTCAATTGTTCTGTAATGCTTTTTTAAAGCAAGGTGTATAATATTAGGGGGAAACAATATTACTTGGCCACACTGATGCAAGTTACTTCCATTTCCTCTTTATTGAAGTTTTTAGGAACTCCACCATAAAATTTTGTTTCTGAGTTTCGTTGAATCCAACACGTTTGACAATTGGTTGAAATTTTAATGGCCTATTTGGTGAGCTTTTGAGATCAGATACTATACAAGTTTTGAAATTTGAACAAAATAATATTTCATCCGCCCTTAAATCATTCAACCTCGTATACTTATACCAAAAAGTATATTCCTATGCACTGACATTTTAATGGTTCATACTGATATAAAATGTTGGTGTGTTAACAAAAATCTATAACACTACACCTATCATTGCATTTTATGTCTGTGTAAACTATCAGCCTATCATTATACCGACACAAAATGTAAGTACACACATGCGGTGTACAAATTGGAGTACAAATCTTGGGGTACAAATAGCTTAATCCTAAATCATTTACTCTTTACGTAAAATGAAGTAAAATTCTAAATTTTTTCAATTCATTTTATTTAAAGATTAGTATATAAATAAAAAATAAAACTTACATATTTAAAAAATGTGTCAAAGTTTCTATAAAATAATAAGTGACAATAATATTTTATTTTATCAAATAGTCTATGAAAACACACAATAAACAAAAGTTATAGCTATTTTTGAATAATAAAATGTGTAAATCTAAGGAATAGAGGGAGTTTGAGTTTTGAAATTTGAAATAAATTTTTTTTAAATAAATTTAAAACTTGATTTAAAAAGTGATAGCGGGGTAACCTGATTTGGCAGCAATAGTCAGTGATCAGTTGCTAGTGTGGTCGATTTTTACAAACGGAGCATCGTAGGTACTCCAAACAAACTGGTGTAAGCAAATGACAACAGTAACACTGGTGTCATTTTAGACTTACCGTATGCACAAAGCTGGCTAAAAGCAAACACTCGCATAATTAGGGCTGTCAACGGATAGCCGAAAATCCGATTACCGTCCGCATCCGTATCCGTTTAAAGAGTAAATATCCGCATCCGTTTTAAACGGATATTATCCGTATCCGATTACCAAACGGATACGGATTTGGTAATTGTATATCCGATCCGTTTATAATCCGATCCGAATATACATCCGTTTAAATAACCGTTTATCTGAATACCCGGCCCGTTATATATAGTTGTTCCTAATGTTTTTATGTTTGTATTTTTTTTCTCTATTGATATATTAAAGTATAAGATATTTTTATATACAAAATAAATGTGTAGACACATAAAAGTATGTGCAGACATATAAAAATATGTGTATATGTATGTTGTGTATATCTTTTTATCATATGAAGTTATTGTAGTATATCATAAATAATGAAAATAATTATCCCATAACAAATTATAGTTGATTTAGTAATAGTTTGACTTTACTCTAATTTAAAATTAAAGTATTGTTTAATTTGATTTTAAAAATTGGAAACGGATACGGATATATCCGATATCTGACTGATATCCGACGGATGCGGATACGGTTTTGATTTTCAGTATCCGTCAAGATTTGTATTCGAATTCGATATTCGACAAAAATAAACGGATACGGATTTGGTAATGACACCTCCGATCCGATTAATATCCGTTTACACCCCTAAGCATAATTAATACTACGGGGTATTATTACTCTGCATTATTACTGCCAACAGTTATAATTGATAGTGCAGGTGGGAGTTGCCGGTGTAAGCCGGAAAGGGGAAATGACCGGATTCGATGCGGCGGAGATCCTCGAGTAGGATATCATAGTGCCTCTTCACCTCCGCAGCGGACTTGCCGCCACCGACGGCCATTGCCACATTTTGCCACCGCTCAGGCGTGTCCTTGTCGTACTGAGCCAGAGCCTTCTCAAACACCTTGTTTTGGCGGGGAGTCCAAATGCATGAAGAGCCAAATGACCTAGCAGAAGCACTTGATGATGATGATGATGATGACGCCATCCTGACAAAATTTGCAATAGATTAACTTAAAAAACAAATGGATTTGAAAAAAAGAAAAAGAAATTTATGTAGGCAAACCTGCTACATGCAGTAAAGATAAGAAAGTGTAAATTAAGATGAGATATGGTAGGGAAATGAAGATGATGGATGGGCCTGATCGAGGATGCTAGCTAGATACCCATGATTTGGATATATGGGTGCTTATATATAGACTACAACAGTGGTAGAGGCCTAAATATTGTCTCACGAAATTTAAGAGATTATTCAAAATGAAAATGTGAAGTTTATTTCTTTGAGGTATATATTATCTTGACAAATTTTGACTGATGACAAATTTTAACCATTAATTTTAAGTCAAATGTTATCCTCATTGATTGCGAAAAGAGTTGAGACCGAGAAAGTAGCTAGCTTAGAAAAAAATGTTATAAACCATCTATTTTTTTAATAAAAAAATACTCGTAAAAATTAATTTTAAACGAATAAAAAGGAAAAGAAGACAACAAGAAGTGTTATACTCTATATTTTAGTGTAATTACTAATTACCTTAGAAGTTTATTTGGTGGTGCGGAGTGCCCCCTTGGCGGGGGTTCGAGGGCAAACACTTCGTTGAGATTGTTATGATAAAAGCCATGTTTTAACGGGAGATCCAAGGGGGGTAGCGCCCCCCTTGTCAGGGATTAGGGGGCAGCGCGCCCGAGCAGGGTTCAAGGGGCAGCAGCCCCTGCGCGATCCATAGGGCAGAGCCCCTGGCTAGAGTCGAGATTATTGCGTGTAAAAAATTCATTTGACTTTTGAATTTCCGATTTTATCCTTAAAGATTTTTTTTGGAAATTTGCGTGTGTTTTTCTACCATTCCGCGCGACTTGACGCGAATTTAGAAAAGATGCGACAGCATCTCAAATCCTTCCTTCCGCGTCTATAAGAATTCGGCAAATCAATGGTCGTAAAGTCAGTTCAAAAATTCATATCAGTTTATACCGGTTCTTGTCACAAATTTGAGTTTTATCCGACTGATTTTTGAATTAAAGATCCAATTAGTTTCCTATCCGGCAATTGGCAAAGATGAGTGTGTTACTAGGCTCTTTCATAGCAATAGGCTTAGACGCCATGTATCTGTCCTTTAACCAAACAACAACAACAATAACCCAGTTAAATCCCACAAGAGTAGGGTCTGGGGAGGGTGTGTGTACGCAGACCTTACCCCTACTCGAAAGTAGAGAGGCTGTTTCCAAAGAGACCCCCGACTCAACGTTGAAAGTTGCATTGCTTGACTAACTGCTATTTCATTAATTAAAGAAGCGCAGACAGTTTAGAGATTCATTTTGATTTATTCCATCACACCCCAAAGCCAAAAAATGGTGAAATTTTGGCTCCATCGGAGATGATGGATATCTGTCCTTTAACCAAATTGAAACAAAAAGTACGTCAAGTGTGATTGTTTGAAACTTATGAAATCAAGTCAAACAAAAAGTTAAGCATAATTGTTTAGAACTTTGCACGTAAAACATTGATTTAATTTTTGTATAATTAGGTGATAATAGAATTTCAATTGGTGACCTCATAATTAATACTCCCTCTGTCCCAAAAAGTTTGTTACGTTTAGAAAAAACTGCGTCCCGTAAAGTTTGTTACATTTCTATTAAAAAACCACTTTTACCCCTTACTTTTTCATACCCTACCTATCACATCATACCTTTTTCCTAATAATCTACCTATCACATCCTACTTTTACCCATCACATCAAGGGTATTTTTGGAAAGTCAATACCAAAATATCCCTCTCTTAATTTTCCAAAAAGTCAAACCGTCCCATTCTTTTTGGGACGGAGGGAGTAAAACTTTGGTTCCCTGTCAAAAAATCAAAGAAACTACGTAGTACAAGCTAAGTTCAAACTGGTACTTGTCAGGAAAAGTTCTTGTACTCCGTATAAATTTTAACAGAATCATCCATAATCTAATGTTCTTGACTTTTTGTTTATCAGTTTTTTTAAAAAATACAGAGGCTGAAAGTATTTCACGAGATAAATCTAATTAATCAACCACAATCAATATTTGACTTATAATTGTTAAAGTGTCTTACATCAAAAATTAAAGAGAAAAATAACTGATATATATAATTTTTTGAGTTGAATTAAATAATTAATTGAATTTAATCTTTTAATGTGGTTTAGCCGCGATATCTTATGACTCGATCAGTCTAGAGATCTCCACAGCATTTAATGTGGTTTAGTCGAGATATCTTATGACTCAGTCCAGAGATCTCCACACCATCCTAAAATTTACCATGTTATCAAAGCCGATTTTAGCTCATCTAACCAGTCTAGAAGTTACTTTTTAGCGGTCCATTAGTCTTTTGCCTAGTTGTTCAAATTGAAAACGACATGTGACCCATATACAATGAGAGATCCAAGAATTGAAATGACCGGGGTCAATAGTAAGAAAAAGACTCAGGGTTGCACCCCTGAATTTGTTTTAAAGTACTTTAAAATTATAATGAAAAAAGAATAAATTTTATATCAAATCAAACAAATTTAAAATAAGTAAACCGAAATAATTAACAAACTACATGACAATACGAAACCTTTCTACTATCGAGTAGAGCAAGGTCTGTGTAAAATGTAAATACACCCTCTCCGGACCCTAATCTTCGTGGGATCCAACTGGGTTGTTGTTTGTACAAATACTTTAACATTACACTCCATTTAAATAATTTAATTTTTGTTTTTCGAATGATTTTTTATCGAGGCTACAATTTTTTTTACTGAGGCCAAGCGTTTAGTTTACCAGTTTTTCAAAATTTTTATAATGTATATTTTTAAAAAAATAAATGGACTGGGGGCAGGTGCCCTCTTTAGTTTCTATATATGTGGATCTGCCAGTGCCGATATAACTCGATTATTCGTGTAGTAGTCCATGCACAGTAGTTCATGGTATTTTCGGTTTTGGCACTTTCAAATCCTTTCATTTCGTGGGGAGGGTAAGTGCATTTGCAACTGGTCAACCGACTAAATTCAAAATGACTCGGTTGTCCACTTGAGGAGATCAGAGTGTTAAACTATCCCAGAACAAAAATTGAAGAGAAAAGTATTCAGTATATGAACTCTTGAGTTGAACTAAAGAATTGATTATATTCAATCTTTTACTCCTGGAGTGATATATATTTCGGGCCAAGTGTCTTATAGCCCAGTTCACTGACGTTTATCCCATCTTAAGTTTTATCAACAATGAAAGAAATTTTAATTAATGGTTAAAATAACAAAAATCTAATACATAATTTTTTTGTATAAATATCTAAAATAACCTTTGTTTAATTAATGGTTAAATTAAGTTTTATTAATTTTGACGGTAAAAAGTCAAAATTGGACAACTAGCTTAATTAGGAGAGCAATAATCCTCCTCCCTATCTATGCCGTACGTAGAGAGCAGTACGTACTGTACGAACAAACGCACCTGGTGCTTGCTGATTCATTATACGGAGTATTCAATTCTTGTTTTACAGTACAGTATACCGTACCAGCTGGTATGTATACATGCAATTATAGGAGTAGTATTACATGCAATTATGCGCATGCATATAAATGCATGCATGCATAATGTACAAGTAGTATGTCTGAGGCGTTGTTGGAATTTGGAGCTTTGGATCTTCCCAACGTATTGAATATATCAAAAAACTTCCAAATTCATTAAGTAATTATTACTCTCTGATGATTCAATATTATTATTGACTGATCTGCACGCTGCACAGTCGCATTCGTCTGCATATCATGTATGTAAATCACCCATAATTCAAACACATACTCCGTATACATAATGCACCAAGGTTCCCATAACATTGCCCGACAATATCATAAGATGATCCGGGGGCGCTCCGATGTTCCGTTTGTAAAATTGACGGTTCCTACCCTCTCTAAGCCCCCCGGTAAACCCTCCCCCACCCCGCCCCGACCCGAACACGCCCCCCGTCCCCTTCAATTGCACCCCACAAGTTGATTTTGACTTTAGAGTCAAATTTTGACGGGGTCTTTATTTCTGCCGCCATGCCGTGATGGTGTGCACAACGTTTTTCCTCACATCGGATCCTTATCCAACCCGCTTGTCGTTCCCTGGCGATGGTGTTCATCCGGTTGTGTAACCTTTCCTTCGCAGGCATGCGCATCCGGCTGAAAACGGATACATGCAATTCGCTCTCATCTTGTCCTTCCTTCAGGGGGTCGCAGGGTCTTGGCTCCTCCACCTTGTCTTCTTTGCATGCAACCAGGTTCTCGGGGCGTCGGTGCCTCCTGTGCTTTCCCGCGGTTGTTTGGCTGGTGAGGTTGTCCCGCATCCTGGTTGGTCCATTTGCCTTGCAGGTTTGCGGTGACGCGCGGGTCAGTCATCATTTCTCTTAGTCTCGATCAGTGGCGGAGCCAAAGAGGAGCAATTGACTGCAATTGCAGTCACTCCAATTTTTATATTTTAATATATATATATATATATATATATAGAGAGAGAGAGAGAGAGAGAGAGAGAGAGAGAGAGGAAACAGAGCAGAGGGGGTCCGGTCCGTATAGTGGAGTTGTGCCTAAGTTTTTTAAACAGCAAGTACGGTATCAATGGATATTGGATAATACAGTATAATTTTTTCTCTACTAATTTGGTGTTATTTTTAATTTTTTTTTATCAAATTAATATGAGGATTATGCTCAAATCAACACTTGTATTTTAAATTAACCGTTTCGATAAAGAAATTGTACAGAGTACATACTCCATCCGACCCTAAGTATTTATCCACTTTTAATTTTTTTTTTGTCAAAATTGGTAAATTTTGACTTCAAATTAAATAAAAATAATATTGGATATTGATACAAACATAATTTTATTAGACTTATTATATCATACATTTTCAAATTTTTATTTTATTTCATTAATAACCAATATATATCTTATTTAATTATAGGTCAAATATTGAAAATAGTTAACTAAAAAAGTTAAAACTGGACAAATATTAAGAAACGGAGGTAGTAATATTTTTTAAAATACTTACATTTAAATTATATGAATGTTAGATTGACATAAAATTCATTAATTTTTTTTATTGTTTTATACCATGTATTACCTTTTTAAATAAATATTCGACTCACGAGCTCCCAGTATAGCGCACCCACTACCCCTAAATCCTGGCTCCGCCACTGGTCTCG